AGTTGTCACCCTGCCTCTCCAAATGCAAAACTGACATTAACAAAATGCAATAACAGCTTAAAAAGTACTTGGGTGTGTGCTTTATTTTATATTTACCGTTTAATAATCCAATCGCTGCTGTCTGTCCATAGAAGAACATGACAGCCCGCGTATGTTTTGGAACTAATGGGGCTTTCATGAACCACGTGACAGACGTCGCGGCGACATCAAAGCGTGTCGCAACTATTTCTCTCTATGGCTCTGAACCTACCCATAACCGAAGCGTGTTATATTGACGCTAAAGGGTGCCATATGCGTCGGATGTAGACGCTTTGGCAAAAGCGTCAGTATATGACGCCTTGGGATGAGAATGCGTTGGTTAGCATGGTCCTGTTTGCCCCTGCTGTTAGATGCTGTAACTGCACCATCTGGAAACAAAAAACACCTTTCTCTTGTGAAAACCTGTCAATTCAAAATTAGAAAAGGTTTTTTTTGTAGTAGTCGGTGTTTGGATTGGTGTTATTGTTGAGGAGAGTGGATTGAGTTTATTGTTGAGGAGAGTGGCAAAGAAATAATTACACACACACACACACATCATGCTTAATGTTTTATTATCAAGGTGAACACATGAAATTCATCAGTGTCTGTAAACTTCACCTACATAAATGAGTTTCACAGCACTAACACTGTTTCAGCTTTGATCGCCTCGGTAAACACGTAATAAACGGGGCGTTAACATAAGCCTACTGGCATTTTATGGTTGTCAGCTTTGTTGCATTACATTTACTTCACCAGGAGATGGTGCTGCAATTTCTATCTGAATGAAGCTTCGAGTAATGAACCATTTTTGACACAATTGTATCGGAAAGCAATAATGCTTCGAAACGCTTCATTTGGCCATCACTAGTTACAGGTTGCCTGGAACGCGGCATAAGACTCTGACAATAAACAAACAACCAAGACAGGAACAAACACTTCTGTTAACAAGACTTCCAACAAAGTAACTCACGGTTTGAACACACACACAAAGTATGTCTCAACATCAAACAATGCACCAGCACAGGACAGCAAATACACAGGGATTAAATAGGGAACACTAATGACGAGGACAGGTGAAACTGACTAGACAATAATGACAAGACGAGGATAACAAGGGGGCGGGGTTAAGGAACGAGACAACACAAGCACATGGCCCAAACAACAGACCATGTGCTTGAACACAAAACATGGGTCTGTCATGATTCTGCCACAAGACCAGAGAAATCAACGACATGATGGCAGAATCATGACAATATTATATTTAGTGCTGTCAATCGCTAAAAAAACAACAACCAAAATCCTTTTTTTTTCTGTATTTAGTCGCAATTAAAAGCATCAGGGTTTTAAATATTTTTATATTGTAATAATTTCACAGTTACTATCCAAATTCATGTAGAAACAACTTAAAAACAGTATATTTTAAATATTTGTTGTAATGGCATTTTTTTTATGAATGAAGGCCATCACTGATACAATTACTGCTACTAATGTCTCTATGAAATAGATTTTTTTTTGTAATTAATGACAGACATTCAGTATAATTGAAAGCTATATAATTTCAACATTTATTAGGCTTTAAAAAAGGTTTATAATAAAAAATGTATATGTCATATTTACTTGTGCCCATCTTTCAGGAAATATACAGAAATTGAATAAATTTAACAAACACGTTACAGTCTTAACTGCATAAATTATAAATGAAATATAGAATATTCCGTATTAAAGCTACCATTTTCTCTGTTACCTTTGTTCTTTGATTAACGTTAATGAAAAACATCACAGCAACTGGTTTATTAGGCTGCTGTCACTTTAAGATCTGCCTCTGCCGCACATGATGCAGATCTGACACGCTGTCACACTCACACGCATCTCATTTTCTCACAACTCTTTACGCTAATTTAAGACTTTGTTTAACTCATTTAAGACTGCTCTTATGAGAATACTCTCCAAAACGGGCATTTTGGCAATTGTGTAATTGTTTGTTCAAGCGTGAAAGAGAACTCGATTCTGACCGGTTCTGTTTTGTCTTGTTGAGCTTGAATGGTTTAAAAGCATTTGCAATTAATAAGAGTGTGATCACATAATGTAACTATAGCCAAAGGATGACAGAAAAAAAAACAGATGCTGCGTTAATTGCATAAAAACATTTTTAATGCCTTAAACTGAAACTAAACTGTTTACGCGCTAATTTTGATAGCACTAATTATATTATATTATATTATATTATATTATATTATATTATTATATTATATTATATTATATTATATTATATGTTGAGGTTGCTTTAGCAGTTGGTTAATGCAATTTTGGCCTAAGCTTCAATATTTTTTTCTTACAGAGCAACTGAAAGGAGACTTGTGCTTTTTTTATTTGTCTGTCACAGAGCTGCAAATTGAATATTTCATTCCAAAACAATCAGCAGCCAAGAGCTGAGTCGAGCAGAAGACCGTACTGATCGAGCCGCTTTGATGTAGCAGATAAGACATGAGACCAGACAGGTGGTCACAAGCCTGTGTCTTTTTTCTACTGCAGACAAATGGATTTGAAATGTGTTGTATTCAGACTTGACAGCCAAAATGCAAAAAAATGACACTAAATAAATTCCTGGATTAATTGTCCATCTTATTCTTCATCCAGGATATCTCATAATTCAGGGGAAAAATTGAAAAACAAGCATGAAGGGAATTATGAAACAGACATTTTTACAAAATGACAGACTATCATATTCTAAATACATGAACAGTTTGTCCCTTGGTGGACAAAAGCTATAGCTCCAATATATTTTGTACATGCATCTCCATTTCCCCCTTCCCTTTTCCCAGAAGGGCCAGAGAAATATTAAAAATTAGATATGAAGTAATCATTAATATTTAGCCCACAGCCACTCCTGTCCCTCCAGATGGAAGATAACATGTCCCATTATTACATTTGATATTTCTTTGGTGTCCTGGTTTCTAAAACCACATGGAATACAAAATGCACTTCAACAAACATGAATGACTTTTTACCATTTCATGTTACACTTTTACAGCTGACGTCATAAAAGAAAGATTTTATATTAACCCCATTCGCCTAGAATACCCTGTTGCTAGGTGACCTGACAGTAAAATGACTGACTTTGGGATGGGGGAGGAGGGAGGGGGTCACCCTTATGAATATTTATAGCGAAATGTCCAACGACAGTTCCTGTTTAAGCTTAAAAATGGATCTAAATTTCACTAGTGGAATTGCTTTAGCCTCCAAAGACTGACACGATATCATTACACAAAAAGTGCAAGTGTACTTAAAATGTTAAAACAGCCTGGACTGAAATCGACTGGCTGTTGTCATTTTGCTGTTTTTTACTTTATCCCAGGGGCAAGAAATGAAGCAGGAACACATATCCACAGTGCAGACTATACATTAGCTCATACACCTAACAACCCTCAGACCTCTTTATGCTTCAGCGGTTGGGTTGTCATGACCACCCTGAAAAAATTATACTGCAAATAAAAGAGTCTTAACAGCATATTTTAAATAGCTTCCTTCAGGGGAAAAAATAAGGACAAATGCATCACAACCCTAATTCCTGGTTGTTACTTGGAGATGAAATCTAGAGAATATGATGATGTAATATAGTCTTAGTTAGAATTAAAGGTTCCAAAGGTTGGGATTCTTGCCGTGATGTCATAGAAGAGCGAAACAACCTTTCAGTAAGTTCCTAAAATCACCCCTTTTCCCCCTTATTGTATTTGAATAAACTAAAGAAGCCTTTTTCCCACTATAAAGCACCTTTTGTAGAATGGAATTAATGAATGTTAAAGGTTCTTCATGGAATCATCAATGTCTGAGAGAGAGAGCTGTTCTGAAATGGTACCAAAGGTAATATGAATACTGCATGAAATTATATTTAAATGAATCAAAATATCTTCATTATATCAATTATATTGTTTGATAATTTTCTCCCTTTTTTCAAGCCTAAAACATCAAGTGTGTGCATGTTCAAATAATGGCACAAGAAGAAAAATGCACTGAAGTGATGTATGTTATGCAGACTGTTGCCAGTCTGCAAGCTGGGAAATGGCAAGTGTGTGTGCCACTGCTTCAGACCCACAGCTGTTGACACAACAGGCCCAGATGGTTTTGATTTGCAGCTTGGTTCATTGTGACGGCTCTGGCTTTGGATGGCCTTTTCAGTCAAGTTGCAACACTTCGGCATTTTCGAACACTGTCAGGCCATAGCTCACCTTCAGTATCCTTTTATATATACAGTGTATAGCCTACAGGTGCATTTTCCCAGAGGCTGAACAAATCGGAAAAGGAAAATAAAATCAAATGCACTAAAATTTAATAATTCATATTTTGAAATATATTATCTAATAATGTATCCTTTTTTCTTTTTTACAGTAACACCAGCGACAGATAACATTTCAGATTGTCTATTTGCCTTCTTTGAGCTCATTGTGTTCTCAGTGATCTCTTAAAACATTAAAACATTCAGAAAATATTGAACTAAACCGTTCGATTCATATGGATTAGTTTTATGATCTCTTTATGAACTTTTTGAAGCATCAAAGTGGTAGAAGCATAGGCTGGAGAGAAAGAAAGCTCTCAGATCATCAAAAAGATCTTCATTTGTGTTCCGAAGATGAACGAAAGTCTTACAGGTTTGGAAGGACATCAGGGCTGAGGCTCGTGGAAAAGACATTCCCTAAAATTTATATTTTTGCGTTCAAGAAAAAAGTTATAGCCTAGGTTTAATAAATGATGACTGAATTTTAATTTTGGGGTGAAAATGCTTTTAAATTCTGACAGCAAAACTACAGCTTTTACCACCTTTGAAGACTTTGAGCATAAACAATTAGGGATATCCACAATATTACAAACAATCGGGATAATCCATGAATAATCGTTCGTTTAGCTTCGTTAAAGTCACCACTGTGACTTTAAATCTATTGTGTAACGACCTTCTCATCTACTATGGCTCACTGACACAGTAGTAAGTGTGACGCCTACCGTTCACTGCGCGCACTCACTTCAACATCAAGCTTACGCTCGCGCTGGAGCTGCGCCTGTTAGTGTCCAGCACGCACCAAAACAAGGATTTCGAGGTTTGTAATTAATTTAAAAAATTGGGAAATGGCCCAGAAAGACACAGAAATGAACGAAAAAGGAGTTTCTTCTTCTACCAGCGGAGTTGTTGTTCAAGTCAGGGAGAAGAAAGGAGCTTTACGCGCTGCCATCCCATATATGCCTTTCCCAGTAGCTGTCATCTGCTTGTTTCTCAACACATTTGTGCCCGGACTGGGTGAGTACGAGTGGACAATTCGCTCATTTCACCACAACCACTTGCGAGAAATAACACCGTTTGTATTCTGTATTTACACCCGAAATAAACTGCATTCCATCAACAAGTTCTTTCAATGTACACTTGAAGTAGCCTAATTTAAATGAGCTTTTCATCTTACATATACTGTATAAGTAGCCTGTACACCCATATATATACATAACGTATATATTGCATACTTCAAAACAATTGCAATGGGAATGTCTAAATACTTTTAGCAACGCTTATTGTATTTCTTTCTAATTCTAATTCATCTGAATGAATAACCATAATGGGTTTTTTTTTTCATTATGGTTTTGGTGAAAGTATAGGCTACAATATTGTTGTACATGGGTGGGTTAACGATGGCACATTCTTTTTTTTTTTTTTGTACTGATCTATTACTTCTCACACTACTACAAAACATTAAAAATGCACTTCATACAGACAATGGATACACCTACAATGAACACGTTTTCAATTTCTAAATTAAAAGATATTTTTATGTTTTTGTGGGGCATGAAGTCAGAAGTGGGTGGTACAATGAAGAAAAGTCTCATCAAAAGGCTGAAATTCTCAAAAAGATAACCCTTGAGTAGGTTGGCTCACCTTGTGTTATTATTTCTGTATTATTATATTTATTTAGGACAATAAATAGTGAATTAGTTTTGTTTGTATAAAAGTGGTATAAGTAACATGCAGAAAGCCATTTTATTGTCATGTGACAAGAAAACCATAAACAGGAAATGGTTAGGTCAAGTTGTCAAATGGTAAAACCCAAAGACAATGCTATGATATTAAGGTTTGCAATTCAAAAATGGGCTAAATAAGATACAATAATGATTAACGCTTATACACTGTAGTCAAAGTGTAATGGAAATATGTTGTTACTTGATGGCCATTTTAGAGTTTGAGTTTATCTTGAAAAGGGTATAAAAATAATAAAAAATGCTTAAAATCAATATGAGTTAAAAGATTATATTTCTAACAGCATGGAACATGTTTTTAAGCTAGATTATTTAATGATATTTTCTTTTTCATCATCATCATGGACAACCTTAATTTCTCATTGAGCTTTAAAGCACCAAAGTGCACTTGGAGTATCTGGACATGGATCAGATCAAGTTTCTTGTTGACATTTAGGTCAAAATTCAACGAGAGCTGTTTTTATTTCAGCTCATGTACAATTTTGATTCTGTGGTAATAGATTCATGATGTGAATCTGCAAGCGTACCAGAACACATAATCAGGACGATCATAAATAATGGCATCCACCCCATTACTCTGAGTGATAACTTGACCTTTTCTCCTTCCTTGCTGATCCATTCATCCATCTCGGTACTGTCATTTCCACCTTGAATCTCAGTCGTGTTCTTTTGGTCTAAGTAATTGTTAATATTTGGAATTTGGTCATGTGTGTGATCTTCTTGCGACCATCTCCTCTCATCCCGTTTTCTTAATTGCATAGATTGTGCTGTAATGCCGTCTTCAAAGAGCAATTGGATTGTCTTATTTCTCTTTAAGGATTCTAGTAGCACTGCATTAGACACATTAAAAGCATCAGTTGTTTTAGGATACTTTACAAAGCATAAAAGCACACATGGCAGAAGAATATTGATCTCCTTTGTGTCTAATAAGGCTGGGAAGCTTGACCTTGGGGGAAAAAAATTATCATACTCTTGGTTATTTCGCAGCAAAATTTGGAAGCTTGTTTCTGCCACAGAATAAAACATAAAGGAGGTGTTTGCGACTTTTATCTCACAATTCTCACTTGTTTTCTCATACTTGTGAGTTTACATTTCGCAATTCTTACTTTTTTTCTCAGGATTGTGCGATATAAACTCGCAATTGCGAGTAAAATCTTTTTTTTTTTTTTTTTTCTGAATTGGACTTTATGACTCGCAATTGCGAGTTTATATCTCACAATTCTGAGAAAAGAAGTTGTCATGATGGCTTTGTTTCCAGACACACAGTTGCAGAACGCAACATACACGTCTTCCGGAAATCCTATAGAATTTAACCAATCAGATGACGACTTTGAAACTTCTTGTGTTTTTTTTCTCCATTCTGTGTGCCTTATACATCAGATGTTCAGCCAATGGTCCGTGGGTATGATGTCCGAGACCTCTGTGGGTGGAGCTATGTTTAGCAATAGGGTTATGGGTGGAGTTAGGGGTGTGGTTGGACCATCTAGCTCCACCCATTACATAGCGAGGATGAGCCAGTCGTCAAGCTCCACCAGTGTTGCCAGACGTACGATAATTATCGTATTTGTATGATAATTTTGACCTCTGTATGATGTACGATCAATAATGAAAAAATCTCATAATATACGATAATTTCAGACTTTTGTGACACTTCAAATGATGGTCGTTGTAATCGGGCTTCTATACTCATTGATCTTGCTGTGGATTCTATGTCTACCGTCATGATTGTGAGCTGAGGAGAACGTGAATGTGGTGTTATGCATGTCTTCCATGTCATCTCACGTTACGTCTTCTTGGCCAATCATTGTGGAGAATGACTCTCTCTCACAAGCACAAGTTAAAGGTACAATATGTAAGAATTTTGTAATAAAATATCCAAAAATCACTTGCACAGTGTGATATATTTCCTGCAGTTGTGTACTTACAATATCCCAAAAGTCTCCAAAGATTTTTTATTTCAGAGAAATTCCACTTTTAAATAAGTGGCCGTCCCGGAAAAAAATGTCGCCTGTCAATGACGCAATATCCGCGCTATCCTCGGTTTCCGTTCATACTGCCATACCCATGACGTAACCATGGCGACAGACGTGGACAACTGCGTAGTGCGTAACGTTTAGCTGCATGCAGTTCTTGTTTCTTTCAAACATAGACCATGGCAAGCAGACTTTGGGACAAAGGAGAACTAAAATGAGGATCAATATCAGCGTGGCGTTTTTGAGATGCCGAGAACTCCACGTCCGCGACTAACTTAGACTTGACAGAGCTTCACGAGTCACGACTTTACAGCTTTATTAGACAGGTGAGCAAATGTACATGAAACAAATCAATGTTATATAACGTTAGCTCAACATGATGAAATGTTAGAATATGGTCAGTAGTATGTTATTCTAATGTTGATCTAGCTTACTGCTAGTTTCGTATAGCAAACGAACTAACACGTAGTATAACATTATAACTTTCAACACACATTTAAATGCAGTTTAGTGTGATAGTGTAACGTTAGACCAAGTGAAACAGCGCTGCTTTACCTTACAAGTTTAATTCGTCTAATAAACTGACCTGTGTGAGTAATCCAGCACTTGTGGGTAGTTCGGTAGAATTAAATGTCCTTATTCCTTTATATCCGCGGGACTTGCGTGTGATATCTGTCTCTTTAGCAATCGCAACCTGCTTCATACCACTGTAATGTTAAAAAAAATGAATGTTTGCACTCATCCATAAACATTATTAGATCCATCAGCTTGACAGCAAGTCCCATCATTCAGCTCATCACTGCGTCATAAACCTACGCCTTTGTTATTGTTGGAAACTGCGCCCTCTTGTGGCGAAAAAATCTTACATATTGTGCCTTTAACGTTCCTGAAGCTGAAGTCAATAGTTTAGCAATAAAGTAAAATGCAGGTCATGTCAAAAAGTTGTTGGTCTAGAATCTAAATAACTGTATTCTGTACGTTTGACTCGTGTATGGTGATTTTCTTCCAAATAAGAAAATTGTTTAGCTTCTGGTACGATTCTTGGACATTTCCAATCTGGCAACACTGAGGTCTACTCACTTGCTCTGCAGTGATCAGCTTCTCTTTATAATAAATACTGCAATATTCAATAAATAAATAAGAATTGTTCATTTTTGATTTCATGGTGACTTTAATTAATGCATTAACCAATGTTAACAAATGAGACTTTATTGAAAAGTGTTACCAAGTCTTTCAATACAAAAGCATTGTGCTGAAATTTTACCAAGTCTGCTAAATTTACTAAGTCTGTCGTTCGTCTTGGTAGGTGAGCTGATACGTTTTGGCTCCCTCGTCTTTTATGGATCATGTAGTACATCAGATATCTCTCTTTAACCCCACAGCCATGATATTTACTCCCTTTTTGTGTGTACTGATACCACGGTACCAGGAATATGCCGTTCCTCTATGACATCTTAGCATCTGGGACATTTGCAGAGCTTGGAATCCATCTCTGACAGTTGCAGATAGATTGATCATACAGTAATCAACCCCTGTGCCCACATCACTCAGCCACTTGTGGCCCTCTGGTGTTTATGTCAATATTGGTTTCATCCATCAGGATACCCCCAGTGAGCCCATGCCTAAAGTCAGCTAATCTTGCAGTCCACTTCAGCATAGCGTTTCCTCCTCAAGTTTCGGCCAGTCCCTCTGGAGTCTGGAGGACACGGAGTGCTTTTGGAGGACGCAGTCCACGGGTCCGCAGCATGAATCAATGCATAAACTATACAGTATACTTACAGAACAAAGATGCATTGTACAGGCAGTAATGTGCCTGTCTCATATCATCTCTGCACGCGGGCACGGTTTGCCAGGCTCCTTTTTTGCCGCACAGTTGCTCATACATAAACTAGAGCAGAATATTATGACAAGAGAGCCCATGTTTGGATGACGATGATACAAGGGAAAATGCCAAGAGCCAAATGGGGCTCTCTTGAGCTCACAGTCTGCGCTTAGGTTGTCAGAGACCATTACCACTCTAGTTAGTGAGTCATGCTTGACAACCTGCTCTCCTCACCTTTAATTGCAGATACTTTGCAATGCATGTGTTGGGTGCCAGATCTAATCAAATCATGCTAATTTGGATGTGCAACAATTGAGATTCTTATTAGATTTTTTTTTTAAATGAAATGACAAAGAGCTGGGTACCTGGGTGCTTGCTTATGCAGGGATGTTGCAAGAAATGGAAATGGTTGTTTGACTAATAGTACAGTAAGCTAATTTTTAACTCCTTCCCTGCCAGCGTTTACTAAAAAAAAGGTTG